CCACACTCCGAATTTTCTGCATAATATTTACCCCAAAAACATTGCCCTTAGACAGGACATCCCACTGCCTCCAACCGTCACCTCGCTGCTGCATTTACCACCCAAGCTTCACATCCATATAAGAGTGTTGGTACTACTATACTTTCATACATTCCCTTCTTTGCCTCCATAGATAACGTTTTTTGACTCCACATATACCTCAACGCACCACTCACCTTTTTTCCCTCATCAATTCTATGATTAACCCCATCCTTCATAAATCCATCCGCCGACACGTCAACTCCCAAGTATCTCAAAAAAATTCACTTCTTCATACATCCTCCTCCCCAAATTTTTATATCCAATTTTTCTTTATCTAAATCATTTGATACCCTCATTTACCCTTTCCCCTTTCTATGTTCACTTTCAATAAATCATTTGATACCCTCATCACCTTACTCTTTTCTATGTTTCACTTTCAACTTTCTACCTTTACACACATTCTCAAACTCATCCACTAACCTTGCAATTTTTCTTTAGAATCTCCCAAAGCACAGTATCATCAGCAAAAAGTAACTGTGTCAATTCCCATTTTGAATTTGATTCCCCATAATTTAATCCCACGCCTCTCCCAAACACCCTAGCATTTACTTCTTTTTAAACCCCATCTATAAATAATTAAACAACCAGGTGACATTACACATCCCTGTCTAAGACCTAACTTTTACCGGGGAAATATTCTCCCTCTCTTCTACCACCCTAACCTGAGCCTCACTATCCTCATAAAAACTCTTTCAGCATTTAGTAACTTACCACCCATTCCATATACTTGCAACATCTGCCACATTGCTCCTCTATCCACTTTATCATATGCCTTTTCTAAATCCATAAATGCAATAAAAGCTTCCCTACCTTTATCTAAATACTGTTCACATATATGCTTCAATTAAACACTTGATCACACATCCCCTACCCATCTGAAGCCTCCCCGCTCATCCGCAATCCTACATTCTGTCTTACCTCTAATTCTTTCAATTATAACCCTACCGTATACTTTTCCGGGTATACTCAGTAAACATATTCCTCTATAATTTTTACAATCTCTTTTGTCCCCTTTCCTTTACATAAAGGGACTATACATGCTCTCCGCCAACCCCTAGGTACCTTCCCTTCTTTCATACATTTATTAAACAAAAGTACCCAACCACTCCAACACTATATCCCCCCTGCTTTAACATTTCTGCATGATCCCATCATTCCAGCTGCTTTACCCCCTTTCATTCTATGTAATGCCTCACGTACCTCCACCACACTTACATTCTGCTCTTCTCACTCCTAAAAGATGGTATACCTCCCTGGCAGTGCATGAAATTACCGCCTCCCTTTCTTCCTTAACATTTAAAAGTTCCTCAAAATATTCTTGCCATCTACCTAATACCTCCCTCTCCCCAAATCTACTAACTCCCCTACTCTTTTTTAACTGACAAATCCATACTTTCCCTAGGTTTTCTTAACTTGTTTAACTCACCCAAAATTTTTTCTTATTTTCATTAAAATTTCTTGACAGTGCCTTTTCCCACTCTTTCATCTCTCTCCTTTTGCACTCTCTCACCACTCTCCTCCCTTTCTTTTACTCTCCATATACTCTGCTCTTCTTATAACACTTCTGCTTGAAAAAAAAACCTCTCGTAAGCTACCTTTTTCTCTTTTATCACCCCCTTTACTTCATCATTCCACCAATCACTCCTCTTTCCTCCTGCCCCCACCCTCCTATAACCACAAACTTCTGCCCCACATTTTAATACTGCATTTTTAAAACTATTCCCAAACCCCCTTCAACCCCCCCCCTACCATCTTTGCACTAGCCCAAACCTTTCTGCCAATAGTCTCTTATATCTCGCCCCAACTTCCTCCTCCCTTAGTTTATACACTTTCACCTCCCTCTTACTTGTTGTTGCCACCTTCCTCTTTTCCCATCTACCTCTTACTCTAACTGTACTACAACTAAATAATGATCCGATATATCAGTTGACCCTCTTAAACATGTACATCCCGGAGCCTACCCATCAACCTTTTATCCACTAATACATAATCTAACAAACTACTTTCATTACGTGTTACATCATACCTTGTTATAATTATTTTTCCTCTTTTCATAAAATATGTATTACTTATTACCAAAAATTTTTTCTACACATAGCTCAATTAAAGGCTCCCCATTTACATTTACCCCTGGCACCTCAAATTTACCTACTACTCCCCTCTATAACATTTTTACCCACTTTAGCATTGAAATCCCCAACCACCATTACTCTCACGCTTGATTCAAAACTCCCCACGCATTCACTCAACATTTCCCAGAATCCCTCTCTCTCTCTTCTTACACTTCTCTCTTCTCCAGTGCAACACGCTTACTATAACCCACTTTTCACATCCAATCTTTATTTTACTCAACATAATCCTTGAATTTATACATTTGTAGTCCCTCTTTTCCTGCCATAGCTTATCCTTCAACATTATTGCTATACTCCTTCTTTAGCTCTAACTCTATTTGAAACCCCTGACCTAATCCCATTTATTCCTCTCCATTGAAACTCTCCCACCCCCTTCAGCTTTGTTTCACTTAAGCCAGGACATCCAGTTTCTTCTCATTCATAACATCCACAATCATCTCTTTCTTATCATTTGCACAACATCCACGCACATTCAGACTTCCCACTTTGACAATTTTCTTCTTCTTATTCTTTTTAGTAATCTTTACAGGAAAAGGGGTTACTAGCCCATTGTTCCCGGCATTTTCGTTGACTTTTACAACACGCATGGCTTACGGAGGAAAGATTCTTATTCCACTTCCCCATGGATATAAAAGGAAAAGTAATAAGACCAAGAACTATTAAGATAAAATCAAAGAAAACTCAGATGAGTGTGTATAAATAAACGTGTACATGTATGTGTAGTGTGACCTAAGTGTAAGTAGAAGTAGCAAGACATGCCTGTAATCTTGCATATTTATGAGACAGACAAAATATATGTAAAGTGCTTACTGTCCTTTTAATCTTAAGTTAGGTTATAGCTTGCCCTAAACACACTATACAATCAGAGGCTTTCCAACTGCAATACTGAATGCCATCATTTTTTTTGTACAAATGAAGTACCATGCAGAAATAAAAGAATTTGAATGAGTTACTCAACAGTTATTTTTTTTTTAACACACCAGTCATATCCCACCAACGCAGAGTGACCCAGAAAGAAAATCTGAAGTTTTTCTTTTTTAAAGTTAGTAATTTATACAGGAGAGGGGGTTACTAGCCCCTTGCTCCCTACATTTCAATCACCTCTTCCTTCGTAAGCCGTACACACCTTAAAAGACAACTAAGATGCCAGGAGCAAGAGGCTAGTAAACCCTTCTGTAAAAATTTACTAAATGTAAAAAGAAAAACTTTCTGAAAACTTTTTTTTTTTTTTCAAGTTACCCAGCCTTGGTGGGAGACAGCCAGCAAGTTAAAAAAAAAAAAGTTTTGGGTATTCAACATAGTAATGGAATAAGAGCATAGTAAATTCTATCAAGGGATTCAGGAAAACCAGTTAGCACGGTACTCTATAGATCAGAAGAGAAATATAGTATGTGGACTCTCAAGGACTCATGGGGGATGTTAGAAATCAATGGATCATTTGAACTGTTATGTCTGAACCTCTGGCAAGACATCTAGAGAAAGTTTAATAGGGAATGCATTTCCTTTTTTTTTTTTTTTTTTTTTAAGGTCACCCTACCTTGGACAGAAATAGCTAATGCATTAAAATAAATAATTCAACAAATTTATTAGAAGTTAAATTTAAGTATGCACATTTGTTTTTTTTTAACACACAGGCCATTTCCCACCGAGGCAGGGTGACCCGAAGAAGAAACACTTTCATCATCACTCACTCCATCACTGTCTTGCCAGGGGTGTGCTGATCCTGCAGTTCAAAAACTAACATTTCAACCCCCCCCCTTCAGAGTGCAGGCACTATATTTCCCACCTCCAGGACTAAAGTCCAGCTAAACAGTTTCCCTGAATCCCCTCATGTTACTTTGGTCACACTCCAGCAGCACATCAAGTCAAAGTCATCTGTCTCTCCTCACTCCTAACACACTCATGCATACTTGCTAGAAGTCTAAGTCACTTGCACAAAACCTTATTACCCTCCCTCCCTCCAACCTTACCTAGGATGACCCCCACCCTGCCTTCCTTCTACTACACCCTAAAAGTCATTCTATTTTGCTCCAGCCACTCTTAATGTCCAAACCACTTCAACAACCCTTCTTCAGCTGTCTGGATAATACTTTAAGTAACTCCACACCGCCTTATCTCCAACCTAGAGATTCTCTGCATAACGTTCATACCACACATTGCCCTCAGACACGACATCATTGTCTCCAGCCTTCTCCTTGTTGCAACATTCACCACCCATGCTTCACACCCATATAAGTGTTGGTACCACTATACATTCATACAGTTCACTCTTGAATGAATAACCTTCTTTGTCTCAAACGACTCCTCAGAGTACTACTTACCTTTTTTCCCTATCAAGTCTATGGTTCACGTCACCTTCCATAGACCCACCTGCCGACAAGTCCACATGTGTATCATTTATTTGAATGTATGTATTTGTTCATTCTTGCTTATGTTTATCTTTTATTTGAATGCATGTATCTGTTCAGAATTCTTCCTCCGTAACCCATGTGTGTTGTAAAGGCGACTAAAATCCAGGAGCAAGGGGCTAGCAACTTCTTCTCCTGTGTACATTACTAAAGTTATGAAGAATAACTTGTTTCTTTCTTTTTGGGCCACCCTGCCTCGGTGGGATAAGGCTGGTTTGTTGAAAGAAGAAAGATGTATTTGTTCATTCTTGCTCGTGTTCACCATTTATTTGAATGTGTGCATTTGTTCATTCTTTAAGTGTCTGTCTGTTCATTCACATACATACATGCATATGAAATGATGCTCAAGCTTTACAACATTAATTAAGCAAAATCTTACCTGAGAAGCTTGAATGTTTTCTAAATGCATGTTTAGCATGTGAGCAAAAGACTCAAACAAGCTATCTACATCAACTCTAAAGGAGTCCTCATTCTGTCCACCTGTGGCTCGAGCAAACAGCAGCCGGGACTGGATGATAAACTTAAAGATGTATTCCAGGGAGCGGAAGCACCTCATTATAGCCTCTTGTTTCTCAGTTTGAGGACACAGGTCTGACAAGTGCTTCACACAACTGATAAGGCCCCTAGAATAAAGTGAAATATATATAATTATATTACTACAGTATTATATAATTTCTTTCACTATGATACTTTTAAAATTATTTTTCAAGAATATTAATAAAAGAACAATATTCCTGGCTTCAGAGACTTTTAAAGAATAAAAGTCAAAATACCATGGCTAGAACAATTCAGAACTAAACCATAATTTGGAGATAAATCATTAGACAATGTTTCCGTCCACTGTTAACCATTACTGAGGCACAACTTAATTCCGAGCTTAGAAATTAAAAGGCAATGTGGAGTGTTGAGGTGGTCTGGGAATGTAGAGAGGACGGACAGTAGAATGGGGAGGGTTCATATCAGGAATGATTGGAGAGAGGGGAGTAAAAGATGTTTCGAGTTTTAGTGTTGAGAGGATTCATGGAGATATGATGGTTAGAGTTAAACACAAGTCGTTGGGTGGTAACACTTATATTAGCAGTGTGAGAGAGGGGAGCCCAGCCTAGCCTGTCCTGTTGTCTTTAGGTCTACGTGTGAACTGAGGAAGAGGCAGGGCGTCTCACGCTCACATGCGGCATCACGTGACGTCACACATGCTAGCCGCTAAGTCTAGCAAAGGGGTCAACTATGTAAAACTTATGGATGGTACTATGATACTAAGATAACATATACAGGGGATCAGCAACTATGCTGACATTAGGTGCTTGAGCACCTAGCAAGCTTGTATGAGCATATAACATAGGAGTGAATGGAGACAAGTGGTTTTTAATGGACATGCTGTTGGGATGTGAGCAGGGTAACTTTTATTAACCCTTTCAGGGTCCAAGGCCAAAATCTGAAGTGGTGCCCCAGTGTCCAAGAATTTTCAAAAAAAAAAAAAAAAAAAAAAATTTATTTTTTCTTATGAAATGGTAGAGAATCTTTTTGTGAAGGTAATAAAACAAAAAGTACGAAATTTGATGGAAAATTGACGAAATTATGCTCTTGCGAATTTTGATGTGTCAGCGATATTTACGAATTGGCGATTTTGCCGACTTTGACTCCCATTTTAGGCCAATTACATTATACCAGTCAACCAGATTCTTAGCTATTTCACTAGTATTACTTCTATTCTATCGATTGAGCACAAGAAATCGCCAAGTCAACTGTTTCAACTACAAAATAAAGTGATCGGTAATTGGTAATTTGGCCAATTTAACACAAAGTTCAAAATATTCCAATTTCAAAATAGGGTCCAGACTAAACAATGTAGGTATTCCTGACACTAAACTAACATTTCCTCTGTTCATTAGTTACGTTTTGAAGCTTTACAAATAAATTCCATTTTTATTTTTTATTCGCATAATGAATTTTTTTTCATACCAAAAAATAAAAGATTTACTGTTATGCAATATTGTAGTAATTGTATAAATATCATCACCACATTTGTGAATGTATATTAGACCCACCAGCTGGTGTGTATTAGACGTGTAAGGTCGTTTCTTTACTCTTGAACATCGGCAAAAATTTAACATTTCCGCTACTTTGAGCTCAGTTTCAAGCCATTTCCAGTGCTAAAACCAATCAAAATCATCTCTATTCTGTAATATGTCTTCCATTCTATCAAATGAGACCAAGAAATCGCAAATGCAACTAGAAAAAACATACAAAAAAAACTGCAAAGTCGCTGTTTTAATCGAAAATCACAGTCATTATACACTGTGTGCTGCAGGATTTGTTTTATGTGGTGCACACATACCATGTAGATGTATTCTTTCATATCTAGGACCAAATTTACCAGTCACAGTTTATCAGAGTGAGCTGAGTTCATGGCGTAGATCTATAGTTTGAACCCTGAACGTAAAGCCGTAGATATACGGGACGGACCCTGAAAGGGTTAAGGGATTCAAGGAAACCAGTTAGCCAGACTTGAGTCCTGAAGGTAGAAAAGGCAGTGGCTGCCCTTTGAAGGAAGAGTGGAAAAGCTGCAGTCAGGAGGGGTAATCTGTTTGCAATGTCAGCACACTTTACGAAAAACAGTAACTGAGTGAATGTTGCTAAGCTTGTTTTATTCTTTTGGTAACTGTGTCTTAGCGGGAGATGGCCATTGTGTTAAAAAAAATTAATAATAGTGCAAAACAGATGAAAATGTCATCTAAAGATACATCCCCAACTTGTGGGTTAGTTATGAAAAGCCTTAATTTACAGTACTCAACAAGACCCCTTTTATAACACCAACTACACTGTCAACATTTTTACCCCATTTTTGCCTCCTTCCTGTGAAAGCTGACACAATATAATACATCATTCTCACCAAAAGGCTCAATTATCTACAGGTAATTTTTCCTTGGTGCAGACAAAGCTTTATTATAGAGAGCTGACTATCAACTCATGATAAAGACTTGATAAAGCTCACTGTGTGGGTAAAATGTTGTCTATAATAAAGCTATTGTTTTCATGTATGTTCCACATAACCATAGGCTTTCTGGATGCACAACCAAATGTTACCCATCTCTGTACAAAGACTATCATGTGGGAATAAAGCTTTGACTTTATTCTAGCATTCTACAGGTATTTTCTTATAGACCTGCATTCCAGAAAAGTGACTAAATACAAAGAGCAAGGAGATGACAGGTCAAGAAATAAATAAGAACAAAGAGAATTTTTTAACAAGCAAAGGCTGGAATGCTGAAAATGTAAAACAAGTAATAACCAAAATTTTAAGAATAAAAAGAGACACACAAAAAAATATGTATTAAAGCTAACATAGCTTCAGAGAACACGAAGTAGAAGTTAAGTTACTGAAGGAAACAGTCGAGTCGGAAGAGAAAAATTTTTGTTTGTCAAGACAGGAAATTGTATAAAGAACTGACAGGAATAAGTAGAAAAATCATTTTGATAAAATAAATTTAATAAAACTTTCAGCCTAAGAAGAATGTTGTTGGTGAGGCAAGTATGAGAAGAGAAAGAATACACTTCAAAAAATTTCAAATGACAGGCAAGAAACAAAATGTGTTTTTAAAAAAAGGACCAGACAGAAAAAAAAATCAAGTTTATTAACTGTTAGGAAAATAAAATGCAACAATAGCTACAGAATGACATGTGAAAAAAAAAAAGTCTACAAATTAAGACTTGAAAATGCACATCAAATAAAAAAATCTGTACACAAACTGGAAAAAGGAAGCTAAAGAATGAGAGGCCCCATTATTGAATTTCTCCTTCTTTCAACAAACCGGCCATATCCCACTGAAGCAGGATGGCCCAAAAAGAAAAACAAGCGTCTCTTTTAACTTTAGTAAAGTATACAGAAGGGGTTACTAGCCCCGTTGTTCCCAGCATATTAGTCTCCTCTGACGACACGCATGGCTTACGGAGGAAGAATTCTGTTCCACTTCCCCATGGAGATAAGAGGGAACAAACAAAACAAGAACTAGTAAGAAAATAGAAGAAAATTCGAAGGTGTGTATATATATGCTTGTACATGCATGTGTAGTGTGACCTAAGTGTAAGTAGAAGTAGCAAGATGTACCCGAAATCTTGCATGTTTATGAGACAGAAAAAATACACCAGCAATCCTACCATCAAGTAAAACAATTACAGGTTTCCGTTTTACACTCACTTGGCAGGACGGTAGTATCTCCCTGGGTGGTTACTGTCTACCAACCTACTACCTAGAATTATTGTATATGATATCTATTTATTTATGGCACTGCTAATAATTTTGTTATCTGTTAATAGGTGTGTATCACCAGAAATGTTACAGGAATAAGAAACACACAAAAAGACCGAATATCATACTTCTATTAAAGTAGAAGTTTATAAAATTTTCCTGCCATCTTTTATAATGATGAGATCATTAAACTGCAAGAGGGCAAAATGTTAAATTAAATTCTAAGTGATACTTCCCTGACAGAATGGAAGTACTTCCCTTGGTTAGTTACTGTCTACCAGCCTAATGCCTTGACAATGACAAAAGAGAAGTTGGCATCATACAGTAATCGAGAAGTAAATATGATACAAACAAATTTACTTAGTCAATCAAAAGTTATGTAGGCATATGAGCTAGGGCTCACCCTTCTCCAAGGGTAGGGTGGCCCATAAAAGTTATGATCATCAAACCATCATCAGTAAACCAGCCATATCCCACCAAAGCAGGGTGCCCCCCCACAAAAAAATTAAAGTTTGAACTTTAATAATGTATACAGGAGAAGGGGTTACTAGGCCCTTGCTCCCAGCATTTTAGTCACCTCTTACTACATGCATGGCTTATGAAGAATTCTGTTCCACTTCCCCATGGAGAAAAAGTTAACATATTCACCATTATTCATTCAATAGCCACTTTCTTTCAAAAAAACACAACAAACACACACACACACACCACACACACACACACACACACACACACACACAAAAAAAAAAAAAAAAAAAATTCAAATGATCCGATGAACTGTAACATCCCCACCCACTCCTTCAGAATGTAGGCACTGTATTTCATCACCTTCCAGACTCAAGCACAGCTAATTATACATACTTTAGTAAATAATGGGACTAGACAAGTCTTAAACAAAAATAAAAAAATCCTGAATTGACTCTTCATAAACAAAGCATTCAACCATGGCAATACACACTACTATATGGTATTGAACAGCAATTTAAACATAATATAAGTCAAATATTGAGAAACATACTTGTAAACAAGTGCAGCAGCAAAATGCCCCGTAATATAAGCATCCATGACAGGCTTGAAGTGTTCAAATTTGCTATCTTCTAACAGGCTGAAGATAAAGACCTGTTAATAAAAATATTTTATTACACGACTTGTAAACCATGTACAATATAAAACAGAGTACAGTGGTACCTTGACTTACGAGTGCCCCAACTTACGAATTTTCCGAATTATGAGCCGTCACTCGGTCGATTTTTTGCTTTGAGTTGCGAGCCAAAATCTGTGTTACGAGCGAGCTTCATATATGCAGCCACTCGCAGGAGAGAGGAAACATCAAAAACCTCGATAATAACCAATGTGCAACATCCTTTCAATTTTGATACCACTGGTAGTGTCATCCTACCAGAATGTTCCATAATGTATGCCCTAAGAAAAGAGAAACAATTCTGGAACATGTGTAATACACGTTCAGTAGGGCAGCTGGTTGGGTGGCCAGCTGGCAGGAGACTGGTGGCTGGCTGGCTGATTTGCTTAGGCTGTCTATCTCCTGTCCATCTAGTATATCAATCACTGTCTGTCTCTATCTCGCTGTGCCTCTCTATCCCTCTGTCTCTCTATCCCTCTGTCTCTATCCCTCTGTCTCTCCCTCTCTCAGTCTATTTCTGTCTCAGTCTACATATCTGTCTTAGTCTATGTATCTCTGTCTCAGTCTATATATCTCTGTCTCTCTCTGTCTATCTCTATCTCTGTCTCTCTATCTCTGCCTATCTCTGTATCTATCTATCTCTGCCTGTCTATCTATCTCTGCCTATCTCTGTCTGTATCTCTGCCTATCTCTATCTGTGTGTCTGCCTATCTCTATTTGTCCTGCCTATCTCTGTGTCTCTGCCTATCTCTGTCTATCTCACAGGTACACATAAATACAATTATACATACTGTACATTACCTAGGATAATCCAAAAAATCCAGGCAAAGAGCTATACTATGCTTGCAGATGTAAGGCATAATAAGCATGACTGGGAAGTAATACACATTTTCACTTGTTCAGGAATTAGACGTGGCCGACTCTGCATCGTGTGTAATACCTGTTGGTTCATGAGCGGCTCTCTCTCTGAGACAGAGACAAAGTAGAGAGACAGGTAAATTGAAACACAGGCAGACAAAGACAGATACGCAGAGGCAGAGATAAACATAGATAGAGCGAGACAGAGACAGACAAATAGACAGAAACAGATAGACGTGTTTATTTGTAACAGTGAAAAATAAATCCAAGGCAGTACACGATCATCAAATGAAACTCCACGAGTGACACTCCACTGGCAGTAGAGTGACACTCATCTTTCACCATGCATCAAGGAGATTCACATATAATCCAGAATTTCTAAAACATTGCTGGGACCTGGCAAAAAAGGCAAGAATCATTTATTTATAAATACATTTTTCTTATTTAAAAACCCATAACAAAAAAATTGGGGTGGTTTTTTGGGGGCTAGAACGGATTAATGGCATTTCAATTAATTTCAATGAGGAAAATTGATTCGATATAAGAGCAAATTGAGTTACGAGCTTGGTCACAGAATGAATTAAACTCTAAAGTCTAGGTACATTGTACTTGTACAATAATACATGCCTGTAAACATTCAAAAAACATTCTAATTAAAATAATGATACTGTATAGACTTACTAGGGCCTGGAAGACATGACCTGAATGCTGTGTTGAATTGCCATCATCTGTAGAGAACATAGCAAACAATGCATCCAACACATCCTGTAGGAACTTGACTGTTTCTGCACCATCAACACGGGTTAATCTCGAAAGTGTTTCACCAATACCATCAGGAGTAGAGCGCCAACGTAGCAGCGAGAGAAGATCAACTGCAACACAAAACATTCCAATTTAGCATTCTGCACTAAATGGTCTGAACATATGTATTTTTTTTTTAACACGTCAGCCGTTTCCCACCAAAGTAGGGTGGCCCAAAAAGAAAGAAAAATCCAAAAAGAAAAAACTTTTATCATAATTTAACATTTTTACCATCACTCATACATAATCAATGTAACCATACCATGGGTGGGGTTAGAACCTGCAATCAGAGTGTCTCAAAACTCCAGACCATTGAGCTAGCTGGCCCAGTGGCTAACACGACGGTGTGGAGTTTTGAGACTCTCTGATCACGGGTTCTAACCCCACCCGTGGTATGTTTTGTTTGCAATCGTGTCATTACAATTTCAAGACTCATAATCAGTGTCTTTGCAGAGGTGCTCAGATACGACAGGTTAGATCTCCCTCCAAACTGCCAATATTCCAGTCCCCTCCTTTAAAGTGCAGGCATTGTACTTCCCATTTCCAGGACTCAAGTCTGGATAACCAGATACAACAACCCCTCTTCAGCCCTATGACTAATACTTTTAGTAACTTCACACCTCCTCCTAACTTCCACACTACAAATTCTCTGCATAATAATTAAGTCACACATTGCCCTTAGACACGACATCTCCACTGCCTCCAACCACCCCTCCTTGCTGCAGTATTTACAACCCATGCTTCACACCCACACAAGAGTGTTGGTATCACTATACCCTCGTCCATTTCCTTCTTGACTCCATGGATAACATTTCTGGTCTCAACAGCTATCCCAATGCACCACTCACCTTTTTTCCTTCATTGATTTTATGGTTAACCTCATCTGCTGACACTTCAACTCTCAAATATCAGAAAACATTCACTTCTTCCATACTCCCTCCCTCCAATGTGATACCTAATTTTTATCTAAATTGTTTGATACCCTCATCACCTTACTCTTATCTATGTTCACTTTAGATATCACTCTTAAATAGCAAATATCCCAAACTCCTCCTTTTAAGTGCAGGCATTGTACTTCCCACCTCCAGGACTCAAGTCTGGCTCACTGATTTCCCTGAATCCCTTCACAAAATATTACCCTCCTCACACTCCAACAGCTCATCAAGTTCCAAATGCCATTTGTCTCCACTCACTCCTAACACACACACATGCCTGCTGTATGTTCAAGCCTCTTGCACATGAAACTTCTTTTACCCCCCTCCCTCCATCCTATCCTAGGACAACCCCTACCCCTCCTTATCTCCACTACAGATTTATACACCCTCCAAATTATCCTATTATGCTCTAACCTCTGTAAACTACCTCACGAACCCCTCCTCAGCCCTCTGAATAATTCTTTTAGTAACTCCACACATTTTAATTTCCACACTACGAATTCTCCCCATAATATTTACACCACACACTGCTGTTAGACAACATACTTCCACTGCCTCCATCTTCTTTTTTGCTGCAACATTCACAACTCATGCTTCATACCCATTTACTAGTCCTGGTACCACTATATATTCACACATTGCCTTCTCTGCCTCCATGGATAACATTCTTTGTCTCTGCAGATACCTCAATGCTTCACCCACCTTTTTTTCTTCATCAGTTCTATGGTTTACCACGTCCTTCATAAACCCATCCGCCGACTAATCTACTCCCAAATATCTAAACAAATACACTTTTTTCATACTCTCTCCCTCCCATGTGATATCAAAATTTCCATTATCTAACTCACTTGATACCCTCAACACCTTACTTTTATCTATGTTCACTTTCAGATTTCTTACTTTACACACACACACTCAAATTCATCCACTAACCTCTGCAACTTCTCCAGAATCTCCTAAAAGCACTATCAGCAAAAGTAACTTTGCCAACTCCAATTTTGCATTTGGTTCCCCATAATTTAATCCCACCCTTCTTCCCAATACGCTAACATTTACTACTTTTACAACTCCATCTATAAATATGTATATTAAACAACCATTGTGACATTACACTTCCCTATCAAAAGCCTACTTTTACTGGGAAGTAATCTCCCTCTCCTACAATCCTCATAAAAACTCTTTACATCATTTTACTTACTACCTATTCCATACACTTGCAACATCCTAGTTGAAGGATTCTTTTTCGCTGTAGTCAAATTCTGTTTAAATTTATCAGTTTTTAATAAACCAACCATTTCCCACTGAGGTAGGGTGACCCAGAGAGAGGAAACCTATTCACCAACATTCATTCAATTGCTGTCTTGCCACAAGTGTGCTGATATCAGTGTTCAGACGGCCATCCAAACTGAGACTTCCCCACTCCTTTACTTATCAGTTTTTTTTATTATTAACAAATCATTCATTTCCCACCAAGGCAGAGTGGCCCAAAAAAGAAAAACTTTCATCCATCACTGTCTTGCCAGAGGTGTGCTTACACTACAGTTATAAAACTCCAACATTAACACCTGTCCTTCAGAGTGCAGGCACTGTACTTACCATCTCCAGGACTTAAGTCCTTGCTCACATTCCAACAGCACATCAAGTCCTAAAAACTATTTGTCTCCATTCGCTCCTACCTAACAAGCTTATGCACGCTTGCTCGAAGTCTTTTACCCCCTCCCTCCAACTTTTCCTAAGCTGACCAATACCTCGCCTCCCCTCCACTGCAGATTTATAAACTCTCGAAGTCATTTTATTTCGTTCCATCCTCTCTACATGTCTGAACCACCTCAAGAACACCTCCTCAGTCCTTTGGATAATAGTTTTAGTAATCCCACACCTCCTCCTAATCTCCAAACTACGGATTCTCTGTATTATATTCACACCACACAATGCCATCAGACATGACATCTCTAGTGTTCGCATCGCTATTGGGCCGTGTGGACGTGCTGCGCAGTAGCTCCTGATTGAGTTGGCATTTGCGCAGTGTTGACGTGTACTTGGCTCTGTGAAGACCTGTTTGCGCGCTCTCTACGAATTGAAGCAAGATGCCCTCCATCGAGCAACTTTACCAACAGCTTAAGGAAGAATTGAGGTTGGCGAATTTGGAAATTCGGCGATTGACCGAGGAGAACAAGAAGATTCGTAGTAGTCCTCCTGTTTTGAGTCCTCAGGTCAAGAAGGGAAACTGGTCAGTGGCTGGACAGCAGGGAAAGAAGTTGACGATCAAGAAGACGAATGGAAAGGTAGAAACGATGAAGAAGAAAGAGACTGCCGTGGAAACTGTTGTGGAAACATCCAATACATTCTCAGTGCTACCGACGAATGTTGAGTTGACTACTGGGAACGACACGACGAAAGACATTAAGGAAGGTAAGAATATTGTTGTTGTTGGGGATAGCCAAGTTAGGTATATGGATAGGGCGTTCTGCTTGAAGGACAGGAGTAGGAGACAGAGAGTTTGCTTTCCTGGGCTGGGATGGAGGATATTGTTAGCCGTCTGGATGACATCATGAGAGGTAATGGGAGCAATCCTATTATCTGTCTCAGTGCTGGAGGCAACGATGTTGGCAGACGAGGAGTGAGGACCTGATTAGCAGGTATAGGTCAGCAATAGAAATAATTAGAAGTAAGGGTGGGAACCCTCTCATATGTGGTATTTTGCCAAGGAGGGGAGTTGGAAGTGAATGGTTGTCCAGGGCAATTGGTGTCAATTGCTGGCTGGACAAATACTGTAAGGAAAATGCGGTAACATTCATTGACAAGTGGGACCTCTTCTATGGCAGAAATGACATGTATGCTAGGGATGGGGTTCACTTATCTAGGTGTGGGGTGGGAGCACTGGCAACTGCAGTGGAGGGAGCAGTTAGGACTTTAAACTAGGAATAGTTAGTGGTATGGGTTTTGGCAGGAAAACAGTGAAGTCCCAGTGTAGTAATATTACGAGTTCTAGGGAACTAGTAATAATAAGAACGAGATAGATATTGAAAAAGCCAGGGACCTTGGGTGATAAAGACGGTAATAGGTTTAGTAGAAAAATAGAAATGACAGGAAGGGTAAAGAAAGGAGAGTCTTTCAATGTTTATTATGCTAATTGCCGTAGTGCTAGGGAATTAAGATGGAACGAGTTGAGATTAGTTGCTAGTGTAGGTAACATTGATGTATTTGCCTTACTGAGACGTGGTTTATTCAAAAAGTCGGGACATGCCTGCGGAAAAGTCATATTCAGGGTTTTAAATTGTTCCCAAGAAGATAGAAGTATTGGGAGGGGGGGTGGGGTGGCATTGTAAAGTCCGAGATCGCTTGAACTGTTGCATAAAAAGGGTATTAAGTCTGAAGTAAACATACAGAGTCTGGTTGGATAGAATTTTCAGAGGGGCATGAAAAAATGATTTTAGGAGTGATATACCGTCCCCCTAACTTAGATAGGGACCCAAAGGGGAAACTACTATGGGAGGAAATTTTTAAGGCCACAAGGCACGATAATGTAGTAATTCTAGGAGACTTTAACTTTAGTCATGTTGATTGGAATTTCTTGCTGGGAATTTAGAATCTTTACGACTTCTTAGAAGTATTTCGGATTGTTTTTTGAAGCAGTTTGTGACAGAACCTACAAGGGGAAATAACCTGCTTGACTTAGTTATGGCAAAAAAATAAATCCCTTGTTAAAAATTTAGAAATTTCAGAGGAACTGGGTGCTAGCGACCCAAATAAATTTTAAAATTTAGCATTGAATGGAAGTACGATAGTAGCGATAACTCAGTAACAGTCCAGATTTTCGTTTTAGCAGATTACGATGGGCTTAAAGAACACTTTCATCTGTTGACTGGGGTAACGAAGAGAGCTATCATTATGACAGTTTTCTGAACACTATACATGCTGCTCAAAGAGCGTTTACCCCATATAAAGAAATTAGATCAAATAGAAATGACCCAAAATGGATGAATAATGGGCTCAAATATCTTACTAGGGCATAAGAAAGGAATTTATAGGCGTATCAAAAGAGGTGAGGGTCATCTTATGAATCAGTATATTGACATTAAGAGGGACATTAAAAAGGGGATAAGAAAAGCTAAAAGGGACTATGAAATTAAAGTTGCTAGGGATTCTAAAACTACCCAAAAAGTTTTTCCAGGTCTATAGAAAAAAAGTTAGAGATAAGATAGGTCCCTTAAAAAAAAACTATGGGCCCCTTACTGACAATGGAATGAAATGTGTTGATTTTAAATAATTATTTTCTCTCAGTTTTTACACAGGAAGACACTAACAATATTCCAGTAATTAATTTTTACAGTGGGCTAGAAGAAGATAATTATGTAACATCACAGTCACTAGTGAGATGGTTGTGAGGAAAGATAGACAAAACTGAAGCAAAATAAGTCCCCGGGTCCTGATGAGGTTTTTTAAAGGGGTTTTCTTAAGGAATGCAAAATGGAACTCTGTGAACCATTAACTAATATTTTTAATTTTTTCTCTTCAAACGGGGTGTAGTGTCTGATATGTGGAAGTGGCTAATGTAACTCCTATTTTTAAAACAGGGGACAAGTCGTTACCGTCAAATTACCCCCCAATAAGCCTGACTCAATTGTAGGCAAATTACTAGAGTAAATTAAATAGCTGAGATTATAAGAAGCCATCTCGTAAGCATAGCTTGATAATGATACTCAGCATGGATTCACAAGAGGCCGGTCTTGTCTAACTAATTTATTAACTTTCTTCATTTAAAGCTTTTGAGGCTGTTGACACAATAAAGAATTTGATATTATTTACTTAGATTTTAGAAAGGCTTTTGATAGAGTTCCGCACCATAGACTGTTAAAGAAGTGGCGGGCCCATGGCATTGGGGGAAAAGTGCTTCGGGGATCGAGTCATGGCTCACTGAAGGAAGCAGAGAGTGCCCAATAAATGGGGTTAAATCCAAGTGGGGATCTGTAACAGTGGCGTTCCACAGGGATCAGTCTTGGGCCCGTTGTTGTTTATAATATATATCAATGATCTTGATGAGGGAATTACTAGTGATATGAGCAAATTCCCCGGGATGACACAAAGATAGGTAGGTTTAATTGATTTCAAACGTAGATGTTAGGGAACTTCAGGAGGATTTAAACAAACTCTATTCTTGGTCAGAAAAGTGGCAGATGCAGTTCAATGTAGATAAGTGCAAGGTTCTGAAGCTTGGGAGTGCCCAAAACCCCTAGTACTTAAAAATTTAAATGATGTAGAACTTAGCCATACAGATTGCGAAAAGGACTTGGGGGTTATGTGGAGCAGCAACCTTAAACCAAGACAGAAATGCCTAAGCGTACGTAATAAGGCAAATAGATTACTGGGATTTATATCAAGAAGTGTAAGCAACAGAAGTCCAGAGGTCATACTGCGCTTTATACATCATTAGTAAGGCCTCACCTTGATTATGCAGCTCAGTTCTGGTCCCCGTTTACAAAATGGACATAAATTCTTTTAGAAAACATTCAGGTAGGATGACAAAATTTAAATTTACATAGCATCAGAATCTTCCTTATGAAGAAAGATTGAAGACTTTTAAAGTTACATTCACTTGTTAGACGAAGAATGAGGGGAGACCTGATCGAAGTGTATAAGTGGAAGATAGGTATTAATAAAGGGGATATTAATAAGGTCTTGAGGATGTCTCTCAAGAGAGAACCCGCAGTAATGGATTTAAATTAGATAAGTTTAGATTTAGAAAGGACATAGGAAAGTATTGGTTTGGAAATAGGGTAGTTGATGAGTGGAACAGTCTACCTAGTTGGGTTATTGAGGCTAGGACTTTGTGTAGTTTCAAATCTAGGTTGGATAAGTACATGAGTGGGAAGGGTTGGATTTGAGTGGGACTTTCACATCAGAGCTTATTTCTTGGGTAGCATTGAAAATTGGGTTGGGTAAATGTTTTGTTAGTGGGATGAATTGTAAAGGACCTGCCTAGTATGGGCCAGCAGGCCTCCTGCAGTGTTCCTCCTTTCTTATGTTCTTATGTTATGTTCTAGCCTTCTCCTTGTTGCAACATTCACCACCCATGCTTCATACCCATATAAGAGCATTGGTATAACTATATTCTCATATACGTACTCCCCTCTTTGCTTCCATGGATAAAGTTCTTTGTCTCCACGGATTCCTTCAGTGCACCACTCACCTTTTTCCCCTCATCAATTCTATGATTCTCCTTATCTATCATAGACATGTCCACTCCCAAATACATGTATCTGAAAACATTCACCTCCTCCATACAGTCTCCCTCCAATCTGATATTCACATTTTCATTACTTAATTTTTTTGTTATCCTCATCATCTTACTCTTTCCTATATTCACTTTTAATTTCCTTCTTGTACATACCCTACCAAACTCATCCACCAACTTCTGTAACTTCTCTTCAGAATCTCCCAAAAGCACAGTGTCATCAGCAAAGAGCAACTGTGACAACAACTACTATGTGTTAGATTTTTCATCTTTTAACCCCACCCCTCTTGCCAACACTTGAGAATTCACTTCTCTTACAACTCCATCTATGAATATATTGAACAACCATGGTGACATGACATACTTTTTTTTCCCCAACAAGTCAGCCGTCTCCCACCGAGGCAGGGTGACCCAAAAAGAAAATGATTTCATCATTCAACACTTTCACCTCACTCACACAATCACTGTTTTTGCAGAGGTGCCCAGATACAACAGTTTAGAAGCATATAAAACATACCCCCCCAAACTACAAACAACTGTTTATGCACCATAAATGCAGGCTAACCCCAATAAACAAACTGTACTCAGTCACTTGCTCTCTGGCTGTCTTTCCAGTAGAAGAGAGACAAAGGTATTCTATTTAATCCTTGGAACCAAATCATCACTACCTCTACTTCCATTCACTCCACATTCATATACACTTTTCATCAACCCATTTTGCTATTTTTCTACATAACCAACCCATATCAAGAGCCTCTCTTCTTACTCTTTGATATAATGCATTTCATACAACCATATCATCCTCCAATTTCTCTTAACACACAGGCCGTTTCCCAGCAAGGCACGGTGGCTCAAAAAAAAAAAAAAATTTCACCATCACTGCCTTACCAAAGGGGCCCAAATACTGCAAAAATCCCCACCCCTCTAATTTTCTCACTCTAAAGAATGCAATTTACTTCAGTGAAATATTTTTGTCTCAACTAAAGTTGCACTGTACAAAGCAATTCTAACTTCCATACTGCCTGGAGATATAACAGTCATATAATAGTACAAAGAAAAATGACTTACCATTCTGAGTAAGCTTTGTTGAGCAAAGCAGAGTATCTATAATAATGCTTTCTTTGGGAGATCGCTGGAATGGTAGAGAGTAAATACAATCTACCGCTTCCTTGGAAAGGAAAGGCATATTCAGGTACTCCATGGGATTACTTAAACGTCCTCGTTCATCGCATTTATATACACAGAGCTCATGCGATCCATCACGCAAAGTTGTCCCTCCATCATCATCCATTAATCGTACAAATGAAAAACCAAATAATTTCTTCTCGTTCCTTTCACGTGCTGAAAAAAAAAAATTTTCAAATATTATATTTCCTCATCAAGATCATTCCACTTCCTGAACACTATGAGACCAAAGAAATACTTCCTAATGTCCCTGAGGTAGCTCTCCTGGCTACCACACCAGCATGTAATATACAATATTTAAAGCACCCCAAAGCAATAAAATATACATACAGGTACACTCATTACTTACCCTAAAATATGTGAAGCCTTAATGTAGGGCGAGAGGTGAATATTCATTGTAGAAAGTCAAGTGTGGCAGCTCCCACACTACATGAAATACATGACAAATTTAAGGAGCCCCAGAGCAATTATTATTATTACCATCGACATACTTTGTTAACTAAGTTTAATCATTTCTAACAACTACCCTTAGATACCATCGTAAATGAAAGAGGATGAGAGAGATACCTGGAGGTTACCTGGAGGTTATTCCGGGGATCAACGCCCCCGCGGCCCGGTCCATGACCAGGCCTGAGATGCAGAGAATCTAAACAAACATGAACACGTATTAATACCTGTCCAATTTTGGTTTATTCACATTTCATTTTGCATATGTTTGTGAAGGTTTTACCACAATTCAAACACCTTACATTGTGTACAAATTGTCTTCATGTTGGTGCAGTAGAATAAATAATAATAAAACTCCCATTCTCATGCAACACACCATTTTTAGAGTGAATTCTTTCCATCACTCTGACAAGCCGTCTGGCTACCACATCTCATATTTACATCAAATTTTTCTATTGTGGGTGCATGTACAGTAGACCGGTCATTTAACACAAGTTTATTTGGCACGATTCGGGTATAGCACAACTGAAGAATTGCAGCACAATTTTATACAACACTTCATAAAATTAATTTAACATGGTTCAGTTTGCAGGAGGGGAAAAAAATTCCCTTTTCCTCAAGCGGATGCCTTGTTGTGAATCAGCGTGAATCAAGGAGGAGGAGACCTCCTGCCATCCCCTGCCACCCCCCGACACCACCATCGCGGCATTCATACTTCATACGTGTCCAGTCCCTCTTCTTTGCTACGAGCTAGCTCTGTTTGTGAATTGTGTTTTGATATTTTAATTACCATTTCTTGTATCTGCCAAGCAATCATGACACCCAGTAGGCATACCAGTGTTGTTGAAAGTGGCAAGAAAAGGTATAAGCATTTAAGCATTAGAATAAACAAAGAAAACAGATATTAGACATGAGATAACCTGTGACTGTAATGAAGCTCGCTTTGTACACATAAAATGAGGTAAACACGAGTTTGTGTGATTGACTAACTGACTTGAATGAATGACTTGACTGACTGAATGACTTACTGACTTGACTTAACTGACTCACTGACTTTAACCCCTTCAGGGTCCAAGGCCCAAATCTGAAGTGGTGCCCCAGTGTCCAAGAATTTTCAAAAAAAAAAATTTGTTATTTTTTCTTATGAAATGGTAGAGAATCTTTTTGTGAAGGTAATAAAACAAAAAGTACAAAATTTGATGGAAAATTGACAAAATTATGCTCTCGCAATTTTGATGTGTCAGCGATATTTACGAATTGGCGATTTTGCCGACTTTGACTCCCATTTTAGGCCAATTACATTATTCCAGTCAACCAAATTCTTAGCTATTTCACTAGTATTACTTCTATTCTATCGATTGAGCACAAGAAATCGCCAAGTCAACTGTTTCAACTACAAATTAAAGTGATCGGAAATTGTTAATTTGGCCAATTTAACACAAAGTTCAAAATATTCCAATTTCAAAATAGGCTCCAGAATAAACAATGTAGGTATTCCTGGAACTAAACTAACATTTCCTCTGTTCATTAGTTACGTTTTGAGGCTTTACAAATAAATTCCATTTTGATTTTTTATTCACATAATGAATTTTCATTCACCACCAAAAAATAGAAGATTTACTGTTATGCAATACTGTAATAATTGTATAAATATCATCACCATATTTGTGAATGCATATTAGACCCACCAGCTGGCGTGTATTAGACATGTGAGGTCGTTTGTTTACTCTTGAATATCGGCAAAAATTTAACATTTCTGCTTCTTTGAGCTCAGTTTCAAGCCATTTCCAGTGCTAAAACCAATCAAAATCATCTCTATTTCTGTAATATGTCTTCCATTCTATCAAATGAGACCAAGAAATCCCAAATACAACTATAAAAAACATACGAAAAAACACTGCAAACTAGCTGTTTTAATCGAAAAATCATGATTTGTTTTTTTTTCTCTAATTATACACAATGTGCTGCAGGATCTGTTTTATGTGGTGCACACATACCACATAGATGTATTCTCTCATATCTAGGCCCAAATGTACCACTTACAGCTTATCAGAGTGAGCTGAGCTCATGACGTAGATCTACGGTTTGGACCCTGAACGTAAAGCCGTAGATCTATGGGACGGACCCTGAAAGGGTTAATGAATGAATGATCTGATGGATTGAATGACTTAAAGTTAGACTTTTTCACTGAAGAGGACCCTGAAACGATGTCTAGAGCAGCTGATGCCTTACCGTCAATTGTATGATGTACTGTAGGGTAAAACAGAACAGAAATCCATTACAGAATTTATGCACACTCCAGTACAACCATTGACTTAAGTACCAGAACCTCTACCATCCACCTCAGCCTAGTAGGGTCACAGCATAACTCTCCACTCTCCACAATTATCCACAAACACCAGCACCCACAATTTAAGGTAAGAAAAGTTTAGCTTTTTGGGGGCTCCCAGGAACATAACCCTATTTTTTCCCTAAGTTCTTCAGTTCATATAACAGGGTTTTACCTAACATGGCATTATCAGGAACGTAACTAGTGTTAAATGACTGTACTTGACTCACGGAATCTTAAGGACACGATTGCAAACAAACCATACCATGGGCGGGATTTAAACCCGTGGTCAGAGAGTCTCAAAACTCCAGACCGTCGCGTTAGCTACTACTGGTCCAGTGGCTAACGCGACGGTCTGGAGTTTTGAGACTCTCTGACCGCGGGTTCAAATCCCGCCCGTGGTATGGACTGCCTACTGTATTATGATGTGTGGTGTTTATTATATAATTTTAAAAAAATACCATAGATGGATTAATGAAAATGTCTATATTAACCTAATATACAACATTTAATGTGCCGCGGATGGGTCTATGAAAGATGAGGTGAATCATAGAATTGATGAGGGAAAAAGAGTGAGTGGTGCACTTAGGAGTTTGTGGAGACAAAGAACTTTGTCCTTGGAGGCAAAGAGGGGAATGTATGAGAGTATAGTTTTACCAACGCTCTTATATGGGTGTGAAGCGTGGGTGATGAATGTTGCAGCGAGGAGAAGGCTGGAGGCAGTGGAGATGTCATGTCTGAGGCAATGTGTGGTGTGAATATAATGCAGAGAATTCGTAGTTTTGGAAGTTAGGAGGAGGTGCGGGATTACCAAAACTGTTGTCCAGAGGGCTGAGGAAGGGTTGTTGAGGTGGTTCGGACATGTAGAGAGAAATGGAGCGAAACAGAATGACTTCAAGAGTGTATCAGTCTGTAGTGGAAGGAAGGCGGGGTAGGGGTCGGCCTAGGAAGGGTTGGAGGGAGGGGTAAAGGAGGTTTTGTGTGCGAGGGGCTTCGACTTCCAGCAGGCGTGCGTGAGCGTGTTTGATAGGAGTGAATGGAGACAAATGGTTTTTAATACTTGACGTGCTGTTGGAGTGTGAGCAAAGTAACATTTATGAAGGGATTCAGGGAAACCGGCAGGCCGGACTTGAGTCTTGAGATGGGAAGTACAGTGCCTGCACTCTGAAAGAGGGGTGTTAATGTTGCAGTTTAAAAACTGTAGTGTAAAGCACCCTTCTGGCAAGACAGTGATGGAGTGAATGATGGTGAAAGTTTTTCTTTTTCGGGCCACCCTGCCTTGGTGGGAATCGGCCAGTGTGATAATAAAAAAAAAATAATTATTATTTTTTTTTTATTAACACATCGGCCGTTTCCCACCAAGGCAGGGTGGCCCGAAAAAGAAAAACTTTCATCATCATTCACTCCATCATTGTCTTGCCAGAGGCATGCTTACAATACAGTTATAAAACTGCAATATTAACACCCCTCGTTCAGAGAGTCAGCACTGTACTTCCCATCTCCAGGTATCTAGTCCAACCTGCCGGTGTCCCTGAATCCCTTTATAAATGTTACCTTACACTCCAACAGCATGTCAAGTCCCAAAAACCACTTGTCTCCATTTGCTCCTATCTAACATGCTCACACACGCTTGCTGGAAGCCCAAGCCCCTCGCACATAAAACTTCCTTTACCCCCTCCCTCCAACCTTTCCTAGGCCAACCAATACCCCGCCTTCCCTCCACTACAGATTTATACACTGTCGAAGTCATTCTATTTCGTTCCGCCTCTCTACATGTCCAAACCATCTCAATAACCCCTCCTCAGCCCTCTGGATGATAGTTTTGGTAATCCCACACCTCCCCGTAATCTCCAGACTATGGATTCTCTTCATTTTCACACCACACATTACCCTCAAATATGACATCTCATATTTGAGGGCAACATTCACCACCCATGCTTCACACCCATACAAGAGCGGTGGTATAACTATACACTCATACATTTCCCTCTTTGCTTTCATGGATAAAGTTCTTTGTCTCTACAGACTCCTCAGTATACCACTCACCTTTTTCCCCTCATCAATTCTATGACTCACCTCATCTTTCATAGACCCATCTGACTACATGTTCACTCCCAAATATCTGAATACATTCACCTCCTCCATACTCTCTCCCTCCAACCTAATATCCAACCTTCAGTTTCCTAAATTTTTGGTTATCCTCATCACCTTACTCTTTCCTATATTCACTTTTAATATCCTTCTTTTACATACCCTAGCAAACTCATCAACCAACCTCTGCAACTTCTCTTCAGAATCCCCCAAAAGCACAGTGTCATCAGCAAAGAGCAACTGTGACAACTCCCACTTTGCGTTAGATTCTTTATCTTTTAACCCTGCACCTCTTGCCAACACCTTAGCATTCACTTCTCTTACAACTCCATCTATAAATATATTGAACAACCATGGTGACGACATACATCCCTGTCTAAGGCCTACTTTTACTGAGAAATAATCTCCCTCACACCTACACACACTAACCTGAGCCTCACTATCCTCGTAAAGACTCCTCACTGCTTTCAATAACCTACCCCCTATTCCATGCATTTGCAACATCTGCCACACTGCATCCGTATCCACCTTATCACACGCCTTTTCCAAATCCACAAATGCCACAAAAACCTCTTTACCCTTATCAAAATACTGTTCACCTATATGTCTCACTGCAAACACTTGATCTACACACCCCCTTCCCTTCCTAAAGCCTCCCTGTTCATCTGCTATCCTGCTTTTATAAGTTTTAAAATGTAATGATCATAAATATTTAATAGGTCAATTATATCTTCCAATGCTAGCTTTTTCATTTGCGACCTCTCCATTGTGACCAAAACTATTTTATTAGTTACAGAAATTATTGTATTTAAAGTCCCAGTTAAAAAAAACTAGGACACTGTACTTAATGTGGAAGTTTTGCAACCTCGACCACAGTAGTCAAAGTGCAAGATACCTAAATCCCTGTAGACAATGTGTAAGTCAAGCAACCTAAACCACTGCAGTCAAATGTGTAAGTCAAGACACAGTGGAACCTCAAAAATCGAACGTATCACATATCGAACGTTTCGAAAATAGGACCATTTTTTCGGACAAACTGTGTCCCTGTTATCAAACGCACCCCTATTTTCAAACAGCCGGGTACGGGACCTGTCTGCCGCCCACTCCGTCCATGTCCCTGCGCAGGCGCCGTGAGCAGTCTAGCTTTGTTTATGCTTGAGTGAACACTAACCTGCGCTCTCATTCACGCATTTTACGATTATTTCGTTGTGTTTAGTGCTTGTGGGACTGTGAAATAAGCTGCCATGGGCCCAAAGAAACTTGCTAGTGGTACCCCTGTGGTAAAGAAAGTGAGAAACACCATAGATGTGAAGAAGGAAATAATACAGAAGTATGAGAGTGGTGTGAGACTTCTTGAGCTTGCAGGATGTATGGGAAAAACAAGTCGACCATCAGTTCTATCCTGTCAAAGAAAGAACAAATAAAAGGAAGCTGATGTTGCGAAAGGTGTTAATATAGGGAGTGGATGAGGTGCCTTCTTCAAAGATTAAGGAGATTTGTGCCAAGTGGAATGATGTCCAAATGTTTGTGCAGAAATACCACACTGAGCAAGCTGAAACAAGCCATCTTTGCAACAAGTTCAGTGACAGAACCATGTCCCATTTTAGGGAAATGTTAGAGGCACCAGAAACAGAGGACTGTGGACAGTTATTTTGTGAGACAGGGGTCCAGTTATTCTCAAGCTGGTCCTAGTGGCATTAAAAGACAGAGAAGGGAAGTAACCCCAGAGAGGGCTTTACCTGAAGTAATCATGGAGGGAGATTTTCCTTCCAAACACTAACCCCAACTCCCTCTCTCCTCCTCCCTATCTTCCAGATGCCATCACCAATCTTCAATAAAGGTAAGTAAAAATGTTATTTTATATGTATTACTATACATAATTAAAAACTACAGTATTTGTTGTATGTAAAACTGTAATTAATCTCTATAAAATGTATTTTTTGTGTGAATATTTTTGGGTTTCTGGAACGAATTAATTGTATTTCCCTTATTTCTTATGGGAAATATTGCTTCGAATTTCAGACTTTTCGAATTTAGAACTAGCTCCTGGAACGTATTAAGTTCGATTTTTGAGGTTCCACTGTACATAGATCACTGCTGCCAATGTTGAAGTAAAGCAACCTACATCACTGTTGCGAGTCTCTCTCTCATTTCACAACTCATTTTCACAAACACAATTATCAAACTTTCAAAACAGAGCTGAAGCTTCAAATCTGAAATGCAACATAATATCAATGGAACTAACTTGAGCAATGTCTGTACTCTAGTCTGAGGTGTGCTCCTGCAAATTGGTCGATGGGAATGGCTACTTTAAGCCGTTCATTCCATCGTGGAGAATTGTTGTGGTACATGATCATAGATGAGTACTCTGGTGTCCCCTCATGACCCATACCACTGTAAATAGCCTGCAAGAGAAAACAAAAAATTAATTGACTATAGTACAGCACATTACTGTGTGTCTCAAAACAAAAAATTTTTTTAACATGTTGGTCATCTCCCAGAATTGGCATACCTATAAAATTCCAATCATACCACAGCTGAACAAAGATGATCATATGTTTCTTAAGCATTATTTAAACCCCAAAAATCTCTGATGAAAATATGAAACCAAGTCTTTTTTCACACTAGAAAAAATCTGAATTTACAAACAAATAACCTGTAAATAGAAGACTGAAACCTATGATGACATGTGCCTAGTTAACCCCCTTAACTGTCCAAACATAGATTTACGTTCTCTCGCCAGTGCACCCCTCCCCCCCCCCCCCAAAAAAAAAAAACTTTTTTTTTACATGTAATAAACTAAAAAAAAAATTTTTAGAGTCAGTACTTATGGAAATATAAGGCCACAAAGTCAGCATTTGTCACTCACCTGACAGCAACATGAAGCACTGCCACTTGCAAAAGTCTTGCCGATATACCGTTTTCTCTCATATTTTTTAATTTACATAATTTTTATGTTCTGATAATTACAATTTGTAGTAGTTCTTGTGATTTCATAGCCAATCTTTGTTCTGAAACTAATATTAGGTACTGAAATAGTACTCAAATAGTCACAAACACAGTGACAGGTGAACATTTTCACCTACGATAGTCACATACTGTTCACAAATAACCCGCACATAGAAAAGAGGAGCTTATGACGACATTTCGGTCCGACTTGGACCATTCACACAGTCACACTAACGAGAAGTAGAGCAGGAAGGGTATATATAGGCAGAAGTATATATAGGCAGAAGTGGTCCAAGTCAGACCGAAACGTCGTTGCAAGCTCCTCTCTTCTATGTGTGGGTTATTTGTGTATTGTTCCAGGCATGGTATTGTGCCTTTTTTTGTTATTCATATACTATTGTCTAGAAATATATAGTACAGCGGACCCTTGGTTATCAACCATTCCATTTATCGGCCAATTCTGTTATCGGCTGGTTTTTCGGCTTCCGGTTATCGGCTGTTATTTCGCTTATTAGCCGTACTGGACACATCCACCCGCCTGCCCTCCAGCCACTAGCGCATTTGCGAGTGAGTCTGGCTGTGTCTCTGGGCGAGTGAGGACACTTCTGCTCATTCATCCAATCATCAAGGAAGCTAATGTTGCAAAATGGAGTGTAGCAGGGAGGCAGGAGGCCAATGGAAAGGAGTCACTCTGACTTTATTTTGGGTTATCCTAGGTTCTTTACACACATGCTGTGGCAGGGAGGCAGAGTGTGTAGCAGGGAAATGGAGTGTGGAAGGGAGGTAGGGAGTGTAGCATGGGAAGTAGGGAGTGTAGCATAGGAGGGAGTGTAGCATAGGAGGGAGTGTAGCAGGAAAGGAGTGTAGTAGGGAGGCGGGGTGTAGCAGGGAGTGTAGTAGGCAGGGAGGAAAGTAACCCCAGAGAGGGCTTTGATACCTGAAGTCCTTATGGAGGGGGATTCCCCTTCCAAACAATAATCAGTCCTCCATCTTCCATAAGCCAACACAAGTCTTCAATAAAGGTATGTAATAGTGATTTAAATGATCATTTATTTTATTTAGTTATCATTGTTTTGTGTATGTAAAACTATAATTAATCTTTAAAAAATGTATTTTGTGTTAATATTTTTGGGTGTCGAATGGATTAATTGTATTTGCATTAACCCTTTGACTGTTTCGGTCGTATATATACGTCTTACGCGCCAATGTTTCCGGCATGGTAATAAGTGTAAATTCTAGTGGCTTCAAATCAAGTGGGAGAAAGCTGGTAGGCCTACATGTTAGAGAATGGAACTGCGTGGTAGGTGTGCACCCTGTGAAAAAATCGGGGACTTAGTGGTGCATTGTGGGAATGCCATCTTTGTAGTCCTTGTTCACCATGCCTCGCAGTAAGAAGTACAGTGGACCCCCGGTTATTGGCAGTAATCCGTTCGTTCCTGAAGGTTGGCCAATAACCGAATTAATATTTCCCAAAAGAATTAATGGAAATACAATTCATTCCAAACAAAAATATTCACAAAAAAAATAATTTTTTTTTTTACAATTATGTGAGTATTACATACCTTTATTGAAGGCTAATGCTGGCTTCTGGAAGATAGGGAGGAGGAAAGAGGGAAGAGTTAGTGTTTGGTACGGAAATCCCCCTCCATGAAAACTTGTTCCAGGCATTTTCTTTACAAGATTCTCATGCAACTGCTTTGCCTTCTCACAAATGATCGACTCCACAACACTGTCTCCCACTAGTTCTTTTTCCTTAATCCACAATAATATTAACTCTTCCATCTCTTCCATTATCAGTGTCCTTTATTTAGTTAGAAAAGCTACTCCTTTTGCAACATTAGCATCTTTGATTTGTTCTTTCTTTGCCAGGATGGAAGTAATTGTTGATTTATTCTTGCTGTACATCCTGGCAAGTTCCACCACCTTCATACCTCTCTCAAACTTTTCTATCACTTCACACTTAAATTCCATGGTGTTTCTCACTTTCTTTACCACAGGAACTTTACTAGGAACTTTCTTTGGAGCCATGATTACTTATTTCACAGTTGCACTGCAAGAAAAACCACTAAAAACAATGGTAAACAAGCGAAATGTTTGGCTGTATGAGCAGAAGCTTCCTCAGTCACCGAGAGACAAGCCAAACTGAAGTTCAAGCTGCCCCAGCCGGCGGATGGACACGTCCAAAACGACCGATAACCGAGCGCCAAAAACCCTGCCGATAACTGAGTTGGCCGATAACCAAACCGGCCGATAACCGGGGGTCCACTGTACCTTACTCCTCACCGAATTGGAGGTCTTCTGTTCCTAAGTGATAGTTCTAACACCGATGGAAGTGCCAGTGAAAGTGAATTCCATGGTTTTCAAGAGGGTGTGACCGAAAGCAGTGCCCAGGATAACGTAATTAGTGATGAAAACCCAGATGTCCCTCAACCTTTCACCTCTGGTGCTGGGCCGTCTCATGCACATTCACCTTGCACCAGGACGAGAGGTGAGCAGTGAAAGTGATAATGATAGTGATTTCCAGGTTATTGAAAGCAGCTCGAGTTGCGACAGCGAGGAGGAATATTCGCCAGTGAAACAGCAGTATGTACGTCACAGTATGCGTTCTGGTAGTGTGCCACATGCCATTCCAAGGTAAAAGAGTAAATCTCAGAGTACATCCCGTGTCCCTACACCATGACCTGAGAGTGAAGATGACGATATTGTTACAATGGGGATGTGTGGTGTGGGTGGGGCAACAGGTGTTGGTGTTGGCGGTGGCATGAGTTGTGGGGCACCAGTAGGGGCCCACACTGCAACCCATGCTAACTCAGCACAGCCACAACCACTCTCAACCACCCCCACACTCCACAACATCCACAACCACAACCTGCACAACCACAACCACCTTTCAATATCCAGAACCCAACAGCAGACCGCATCAGGATTGGCAGCAAGTTGCCAGGGAAAGCAACACATACTATAAGTACACCATGGCAAATACAATTCTTTCACCAATGTCACAGCTACACCTGTGGAAGGATCAACTGTGGCAGAGATGTACCTGTTCTTTGCCACAATAATGCTTATGCCACATGTGAATAAGCACACTGTCACCACATACTGATCGCCGGAATGCACGATTTCAACCCCAGGTTTTAGTGATATTATACCAGTGAATTGTTTTTTGATACTGTTATGTATGCTACACTTCTCAGACAAAACCAGGCCTGACAGAAACAACAGGTTATATAAGATCAGGAAAGTGTTCATTTACCTGAAACAAAATTGCTGTATGTATTTTTATCCCTTCAGGAAGCTTGTTATTGATGAGTCTTTCATTTTGTTCAATGGCAGATGGTTGTTCAAGCAGTGTATACCAAGTAAGAGGAAACACTTTGGTATAAAGTTATTTGTACTGTGTGATTGCAAAAGTGGCCTGGTTCTGGATATAGCTGTGTACATTGTGAGTAATATACACAAATAACCCGCACATAAAAGGGAGAAGCTTACGACGACGTTTCGGTCCGACTTGGACCATTGACAAAGTCAATGGTCCAAGTCGGACCGAAACGTCGTCGTAAGCTTCTCTCTTTTATGTGCGGGTTATTTGTGTATCGTTCCAGTCACGGTATTGTGCCTTTTTGTTATTTATTTAATTGTGAGTAATACATTGAGAGATACCAGGAAGTTATTGGGTATCTCTGGTGATGTGGTTAGAACAATGATGGAACCATATCTTGGTAAGGGGCATATATTATTTACTGATAACTGGTACACAAGCCCCTTACTCAGTTATTTCTTGCAAGTGAACATGACAGATGTGTGTGGCACAGTGCGTGGTAATCATAAGCATATGCCTAGGTTCAACGCAGGCACTCACAGAGGTGAGGTGCAGGCCTTTGCTGCCAATGACATCATGGCATTTCAGTGGCACGACAAACGTGATGTCACATTTATGACATCAGTTCACCAAAACAAAATGGCAGACAGTGGCAGGCAGAATAGAGACCAATGAACCAATTCTAAAACCTGCAGCTGTGATGGACTACAACCTTGGTAATGAAAATAACCCTCGAAGCTATAATCTAGGTGAAGTAGAGCTTGATCATACAGAATGTGAAAAAGACTTGGGAGTCATGGTAAGCAGAAATCTAAAGCCAAGACAGCAGTGCCTTAGTGTGCGCAACAAGGCCAACAGATTACTTGGATTTATCTCAAGAAGTATAAGTAACAGAAGTCCAAAAGTTATTTTACAGCTCTATACATCACTAGTGAGGCCTCATTTAGATTATGCTGCTCAGTTTTGGTCCCCTTACTACAGGATGGATATAGACTCATTAGAGAACATACAAAGAATGACTAAAATGATTTACTGTGTAAGGAACCTCCCGTATGAAGATAGACTCAAAGCCTTAAATCTCCACTCTCTGGAGAGGCGTAGAATGAGGGGAGATATCATTGAAGTGTATAAGTG